CCAGAGGTAACGATCATCATGGGAGCTACCTTGTTATTAGCTGTGCCTCCTGTGCAGGCAACATTTTTTGCTGGTCCCCTCTGGGCTTCTGTGGCTGCATAGAGGAGGCTGTACTTGACACTGCTCCATCCCGTAGGAATCCTGCATGGGCACATGCCTCGCGAGAGACTGTATAAGTGTGGGGGTTTTGCATCCTGCTTTCATTTAAAGAGAGACCTTAGAAGGGTCATGTAAAGAGAAAAGAGACCTTAGAAAAAGCAGTAGCTCCCAGATTGAAGAAAAAAAAATAATCCAACAGACATTTGAAAGAAAAAGGAGAAAGCTCAGATCTTTGAAGATCTCACATCTGATGCCCCAAGAAAGTCCTGTGTCTTGTTTTGCCACTGCTCAAAGCTAAGGAATCAAAGCAGTAAGCGTTGAACCATGCTTTAACTGTGCAGGAGTGGGGAAAAAAAGAGAAGGGGGAGAAGATCAGCAGAAGACAACTGAGCAGCATTGCATTTAAGGACAGAGGATCAGATCTGGGAAAGGTTTCTCAGAGTGTAAAACTGTAAATGCCCAGCTTTCTTGGAGCCTAATCCAAACATTTCCGACAGCATGTGGGAGTGCCCAAACTGGCCCAAGTGCTGAGCAGGTAACGATCCAGTGTCAGCACATCTAGGAACCAGCCAGTATGGAAATCCTGGAGCGAGGTAATCTTATCCACTCACACCTCATAAAACCTTGCAGGAACCTATCTATCTGGGAAATCAAAATCTGGGTTTAATGATCCAGAACCTTGTTGTGAAGGTCAGTATTTGTGACATTTAATTTTTAATTATTATCCCAAAGAACTGAGGAGGCCCTATGCTTTCTTGTTAAAACCCATCTGGCAAAGCAGACGATAAGAAGAGCAGTAATAACACTGCTTGGATGATAGATGCAGGAAAAAGGAGCATACGGAAGGTGTCGGGCAGGTTATTTCACTCCAAGGACAAGCCAGGAACTGGGAGAGAGCTGCAGCTCCCTGCGGCGCAGCCCCACCAGCCTGCCTCCCCCGCAGAGCTGATTGCAGAATGCCTCCAGCCCCAGCTGAAAGAAAAAGCTGAACAACAAAATATGTTTCATCTGCAGAATTTCACAGAATGTGCTTGTTTTTTTGTTTGTTTGGGGGTTTTTTGTGTTTTTTTTTTTTTTTTCCAGTGAAATAAAACCAGAAAGCATTTCCAGTTCACTCCCCTTTTTAAAATTTGGACATTTCTGATTGACTTTATAGCTCTACTAGAAAACCAACTTTTCTTTTTTTTTCTTTATTTACCATGAATAATGCAGGGTCTTTACATGGGGTCATTTCTGAAAGAATTCATCTCTGACTCTTTGTGTAGTCCTGGAAATCTCTGTGACTGAGTGTTCAGCACAGAGCAGGGGTCAGAACTGGTCAGCTGTAATACCTGACGCTCCGAGTATTTTCTCGGACTTGTTTAAGAAAGTCTATGGGATTGCTTTTCAGATAAAAAGAAAAGCTCCTTGTTTTTAACACACATCTATAAAGGGGAAAACAGCAAATTTTTAAGTTGTTGCAACACACTTTATTTTGTCAGGCAAATAGTATTTTAGATATTCAATTAAATAGCACTATGTTAAACTACATTTTGTTCTTTCTTACACACTATATAATGCATATTCACTGTAATGACAGTTTCATCATGCTAGGAACATACCTACACTTTTAAAAACAAGATTTTCTTAATAAAACACGCATATCTACAGTAACAACAATTGCAAAGAACACATTGTTAGGTCAAGATTTCAGCAAACTTTACAAACGACACAAAATAAAAATAGCCAAAAAAAATTTCAGGACATGGTGAAGTTCTTAGCAGAGAACATATCTTTACATTTGGTGAAGTTATACCTAGAAGTCATTTTGCTTTCGTATTTTTTAAGGAATAAAATTATATACATTATTTAGTAATCCTCAAAATAGGAAGTATTAAATAGCACAAACAATATTACAGTCTTAAGTTTTGGTGTTACCTACAGTAGAGGGGCTACTTTAAACAAATAAAAATTGCAGTTTGTCTATTCTGTACATTTAGGGCTAAACCCTCAGCTGGTGTAAACCACAGTAGCTAAATGGACAGCAAGGAAGGTACATTAGTTTATACCAGCTGAGCATCTGGCTCCTGACTACTCTATACACAGGGGAAGGCTGCTAAAGCATGGAAGCTTGGACCAGTTACGCACTGACAGAAGCTTATTATATATGTGCTGAAGTTTTCATGCAGCAGGAAAAATGTTAGTTTAAGTATAATCCCTTGAACAGTCATACCATAATAATGGTATATGAAGCAGCTTTAAAAATATTATTTTATAATCATATGAAACTCTAAGCTATTCTGATTGTTTTAACGGAATCCCTTATTGCCAATATTCTATTAGAAACAGTGTAACTATAATTTCTGAGGCCTAATGGGGGCCTATTAAAATATCACTGTACCTAACCACTTAAAGGGTAAATTGTACCCTTAAATGCCTATTAATCACTGAATTCCATCTGGAAGCAATTATGATCCTCACAATAGACATTAATATCACACTAACTCTGCAGTGGATCTTCTGGGGAAACAGGAAGAGGGTGGCAGCATACAGAGTATGTGCACTAATGTCATTCCAGGAGGTAGTTTCATTTTGTGGCACTTGATTTTTGGTTTGTCACTTATACACTTCAGAAGTCAGTCATCCTCAGAAAAAAAAAAAAAGTAGTTTGCTGCACCGAAAGTCAGTTGGGGAAAAAAAAAAAAGAGATCTCATTTTCCCTTACCCATCTCATTTTCTTTTTTTTTTTTTTTTTCTCCACAGTCTGCTTTGCTAGCTCTTGGGGTCAGATCCAAGCTCACCGAAGTCAAAGAGAGTTTCTTGATGGTTTTTGTAAGAAGGACCTTAGATACCAGTGGCTGCGTATTAGAGAAATACACATTTAGGCCTTGATTAAGGAAAGCAGTTAACTAGATGGCAATATATGAGCAGGCTGGCACTGCCATCCCCTTTGAAGCAAGCAGTAAGCACACAAATTAAATTCAAAGAGCTCTCACCAGCGTCAAAGGGACTTAGGGACAGTGTTTAAGCGCTTTGATCAATCAGGGCCCATTTCCCAACTATTCTGCATCAGGTGGTGATAAAGTGGCACATCTAACTGATACCAGGCAAATACCAGTGTTACCTCCGTTGCACTAGATCTTAACTCACACTGTCACAAACCCAGAGGTGTTCTCCTATGCCCAGAGTATTCCAAGAGAAGAAGAATCAAAATAATGCCCAAAGAATTTCAATAAAGACCCATTAAAATGTTTAAAACTATGTTTTAAAATACAGTATCCATCTGTTAATGGCTGGAACTAACAACTTTAAAAAAAATATTTTTTTATCTTCTCTGAGTTCAGAAATTATTTTAATTCAATCTTTTTTCCAGAAATTTACCTTCTTTTTTTTTTTTTTTTTGAGCTGAGCATAGCTCATTTTTGAGCTGAATATTTGTTTATATTTTTGCACGCTATCATAAAATATCATGGAACCCCCCACAATTTTTCTAAGGTACACACACATTTTTAATCCGTTATGTCTCTCTGTTGAACAGACTCAGTGGCTTCTGGAACACTCTTACATAGTAAAATGAGGAAGATTTGTCCCTATTTTTTGGCATTAGTGTTGTTCAAAAAAAAAAAAAAAAAGGTGATTTTTTTTCCCCAGGATGGCTTGATGAACATTTACCCAGTTTTCAACCAAACATGCTTGATAAGATCTGACAGCTGCTTCTTAAACAAAAATATTTCTGTTTAAACATGCCTCTCAAGTTGTTAAACTTTTGGGTTTTTACCCAAACCCATTTTTCAGTTTTATTTTTCCCTCATTCTTTTTTAAAAAGAAAAAGGCTACAAAGACTGCAAAATGGAAATTATTTACTTTAAAAATTCTAATTAAAATATTTGCAACTTTGAGAAAACTGTTGAAAAAATCATGTTATAAATTTTTCAAAGACACTTATGACTTGTTTCCACATTGCAGACCATCTCCAATTTAATCATGGAACAGATTAAAAATAAACTATGCTTTTCATTTCTGGGTAAACACTATACAGTATACCCACATTCTGTCCTTTGACAAAAACTGGAGTGTAATTCTTTGAAAAATAGATAAAATACCCAAGTCACTTAGGTGGTTTTCAAAATTGTATGTATAATGAGCATTCTCATGTTTGCCTTATGCCACTTATAAAGCTATGTACTGTTATAGGACACCCTATTTTAATAAAAATCAATATGAGCAGAGATATTTTAAGTTACATTCCAGAACTCATGAATTTATTACAACTCATACTATGCACAATAATCAGTGTTTCCTCTCATAAACTATAATTTTTTTTTTGTTTTTCTTCTACTCGTTCCTTCATTTGACCTCCGAATGAATGAAACATTTCTATTATACTTTACTTGCTTCCTATCAGCATGCATTCACATGATTTGAACAATGAGTGAAAGTTGTAAACCCAATATTGATCAGTAAACAAGAAGAAACTCATGTTCTTAAATGCAGTGCAAGGAAATCTTCGTACCACCCTGTTTGGAGCATGCATCTTAACCCAGATTCTTTCACCACCAGTCTGATTGGTACAGTTCCAGCATTGCAAGGTAATGCACTGATTTTGTAAAAATTTCTATTCGTCTGTAATTAAATACTGAGATATTAAATGTGAATCTGGTTTAAGATGAATACTCAGTTCTACTTCTAGGACAGAGCCCACCCTAGTATCAGTAAGCATCTAGGAAAGAAAATGCTCTGCATTATTTTCTTTAGTTAAGTTACACTGCTTTTTACTGGAAGGAGGATCTTTTCTGAGGCTTGCTGGATTTTAATTTAATTTTTCATTTAATTTTTCATCAGATTTGCTCAAATTTGTTTTCAACAGACAAATATAAGCCCCCTACCGCAAGGACAGAGATATCTATTACTACAAAATAAAATTAAGATCCAGGTAATTGATTTCTTCTATTTCTACTTTTCCTGCTATTGATAAGGGCCTTTAGCTTGCTGTAGTCCCCTCTCATCTTCTGGGATTCTTCCTTCTGCTGACCTTGCTGTCTACTGTCTTTGCAGTACTGGTTAATCATCTGCATTTCTGAGTGGCTGAAGGCTCCCACAAAGTCCTTTGGGTGAAACTGCAGCGCTCGCACTGAGCTGGCCCAGGTCCAAGGGGACCACTTGTCCGTCATGAAGGCCACCATCTCTGAATCCAACACTTTGAAATTGATCTTTGCTAAGGTCTGCTTGAAGCTGTTCTCTGTTGCGATGCAGTGGTAAAGCCCCCGGTCACTGTCTTGGACAGAGCGAATGAGGAGTCCTTGCTCGGTAGCTATGATCCTCTCACTCAGCTTGACCTAAAGGGCAAAAAGGCAGAAGGAACTTTTTAGGGAATGTTATGGAACAACACAGTATTGGACCTCTTTCTTTCTTAAATGGTTTCTTAAAGGTACTATATTTTGCTCTATCACATCTCCCAGAGACCACTGTTATTGCTACTGTTAGGAGGGAACTTACCTCAAGGTAGGTAAGTGTCGCTAAAGAAAATTAATTCAATATTTTTATGTTATGTTACAATAGATTTGATCAGGATGAAGGCAAAGATGCAAATCTGGAGAGTACATGAAAGAAGAGTTTTCATAATGTTCAAATAGCAGATGTGAGGAAATGAACTTTTGTTCACCAGCGTTACACCCCCAAAAATGTCTCTTGCAGCATCAGAGGTTGCTGCTGAGCCTTGATGGAAGAAAGGTGCGGAACTGGGGGTTGATCTGTCATTGAACACAAATTGGCTTCTAGTTAAATATTTTGTCTTTGAGCAGGTTCCTGGGGCAGCTTCTGAAGAACTCGGTCTGCACTTCAGAGTCTACAGCCTAGTATAAAAGTTTTCGTCGCAGTGGTCTCAGCTGGGACTTGGCTCATTGGAAACCAAGAGCCACTTTTCTATTCTCTTATGTCCTTTCTGACTTCAGACTCTGCACAGGCCCAGGAGATGGTCACATCATCTGAAGGAAGCAAGTTACCACAGCTTGTTGAGTTATCATCTGATTACGAATGACTGTGCACATGTCCTTCTGCATATCAGCTGTGAAGTAAAAATTGCTAATTTAACCCATTATGAAAGAATACCAGGGCTGGTATTTTTATGAATTATTTTTCTATTTTGTCACTGCACTTTGCATTGTATCTGATTCTCTTGGGAATTCATTTATTTATTATGTTATTCTGTTATTGTAAACTCTTGTAGACGTTGTGGAGGTAAGATTTTCAGAAATCTGAGAGCTGGAAATGTAATTAACCTTTTGATTTCTTTGTTGTGTTGTTATTTAAAACTGCATTGATTCTAATACAGGTATTGAACATAAGAACAAAAAAGAGAGAAGTTCTGCTGAAGCAAAAGATTAAAGAATTGCACCTAGATTGCCAGGGCATGGCTTGAGTCTTCAAAGAGTACATGAGGAAAACAGCATGAAAGACTCAGTGAAAGGCTTGTAAGTCCTCTCTGATTTTGGAAAATGGCCTGATATGAGAAAAATGCTTTTCAGTATTTATAATCTATCAACAGACACAATATTACTTAATATTTCCTTTCGAAAGATGTTCCTTTTTATTCATATAATAACTGCCTTGGATTTGAAATTGATTTTTTTTCCCCTTTTATATTACTTAAGGAAGGCACATTCCCCATAAACAATCATACTGTATATTGCAGTGCTGAAACTTGAGACCCTTAGAGAGTGCAGTAATGGAAAATGTGATTGCACCATGGTGGGGAAATGCTTTTGTCAATACGTGGTCTTAGCCTGGACTAGTTCCTTGCTAAAGAAGCCTTTCACATTTCTCCCACTTTTGCCTTTTATCTCTTCAATAACACAGAAGGGCTACTGCATGCTGACTTCTTCCTGAACTTTATACAGGTTATTGCTTTTATGCCTGTTTCCACAGATCAATAAGAAGTCCTGAGTGCTGCAGATCTTCAGTTTGCAATTAGCAAGGTGTGAAGGAAAAATTCATTAACTAGTTCCCTGACTTCAGGGGCTAACAGGAATTTTCTGACAGCTGTTCTGGTCCGATAGAAATCACTAGGGCTGAGGAGTGAAGTCCCAGCTGTTCTGAAGAGTCTGCCCTTATTTATATGTTTAAAGTGCTGGTCACTATCCTGCATCCACACAAATTTTCCAGCTTCACTGTCGCTGGACTGTCTGATGAAAACACGAACTCTCCCTTGGTCCGGGGAGTGGATGAGATGCTGACCGAGGTCCCTTCCAGAGCTGCTGCTCACAATACTCACCTCTTTCCTCCTGTCATTGTCTTTCTGTAGCAGCCATTTAATAGAAGCCTGAGGAGATTTGGGTGTGCATTCGAGAAAGGTGGTGTTGTTTTTTACTCCATACTGAACTATTTCTGCAGCATTTCTGTATGCTAGAAAGAAAAAGAAAACAAGTCAGGCTACTGTGGATGGTGATTTGATATAGAGAGCAAGTAACTGTTTGCAGTACAGGTAAAATGTTGCAACACAGGTAAAAAGAAGTATATCTTATCCTGATATTGGCCAATAATAACTAATTTAGGGCACAAAATTTTCAAAGTAATGAAATGAAATGTGAAGAAGCACATCCAGTTCCAAATACCAGTGTTTTCAGTCCGACATGCTCTGTTCTGAGAAAGTAGGGTACCTGCAGGCTGGTAAGCTGTGCTGATGGGATAACTGAGCTCAGGGACATTGCTCCCTGAAATGATCTCATTTGCTTCTGCTACAAGAACGCCTGTCTAGAACTACCCAAAGGAGAATGAAGCATTTAACATATTCCTTCACACTTTACAGTTGATGGGTTGTGGGAATCTGGTCGTATGACACAAAATACGGCAGCCTGCGCTAAAGGAGGTTCCATCTATTCCAGCTGCGTGCAGTATCACGGGGAGGCGAGAGAGGGCAGACCTGGCTCCCGCTCCTCTGCTTCTCTTCAGAAGCAAGGAAGGGACTTGGCTCAAAATCCGAAAGGCAATGAATACGTAGACAGGCCAGCAACAAAGAGCAGGACAGATTTATAGCACTCCAGCAACACCTGGGCAAGTGCTGAGCATATGTCAACGCTTAGGCTTGTTGTGCCCCTTTATAGTCTTGATAGATGAACAATTGGCAGTTACCAATAGGAACTTGCAGATGCTCATGGCTTGGCCCAAATCATACTACTTGTCCTCAAAACAATACATTTCCAGATTGAAAAGCTTACATCATATATAAAATACAATATTTTTTCTTTCTTTTTTTTTTTTTTATTTTAAAGGAGCAATGGATACAAAATACTATGAGAAATGCAAATAACTAGAGGTCGACATATCTAAAATCTACTCCATTTTTGCACAGTCCTAAGACTGTTTTTCCTCAGACTCTACTTTATCTCCCATTCTTTTCAGCCTCTTTCATCAACTGATATGTGAAATTGGAATCTATTCTACTGAAGGAAAGAGACTTTGCTTGGGTTTACTCCTTCAAAGTTTTTAGCACATTTATCAAGTTGTACCAAAATAAATTGTAACTTTTAGGAGAATAATATGGAGATATATTGCATTCAAAGACCATAAGCTAGGAAAGAGCTTATCTGTGGGCTGGCCTGTCTGTAGCTGTGGAACAGTGAGAATCAGAGCTGTAATGCATTTTTGGTTTTATGTATACTGGAACTAGGTGTACTACAGAAATGCAGTTTTATCTGTTCAATTGATCAAGATATATCCAACTTCTTATCTAGTTCATAATACTACTACTTATACATGCTAAGAAAAAGATTGAGAGAATACAAGGCCATAAGGGCTAACACAAACGTAACAATATTAAACAGAAAATTTGAAAAGCAATCATATAAGCCCCTTCGTTCTTGATGATCTATTTAAAAATTGCAATATGCCAGAAATGTTGAGTTTATACATGCTGAGAGGTCTAAGGCATGCAACCTATCATGTTTAAAGACTTTGTTTCAAGATTATGGCTCCCTATGAACTTGGAAGATTTCTTGCTATTTCCTGACTCTCTGTGCTTTTGTCCTTTAGGTAGATTTCATTTTTTCCCCAGACATAATAGTTTTGCTATAAATGGCTTTAATTATATTTTGGAAAAGTCTAAGTTGCTTTTCCTTTTCATCTTTTTTTCCACTGGGGAAACAACTGCCATCTACCTATGCTGTCCCACTGCTGTCACCAAAACATCCTTTAAAGTTGCTAAAACACATAAACCTATAAATACATCCACATTTTTCTTTTTTTTTTAAAAAAAAAAAAGGTTGGAAAACAAGAAACCTGTTTCACAAGACTGTCAAGGTTTAGACATTTGTTTCCCCCCAGCCCAGAAAGCAGACAGTTGACATTCTCACATTTTCCACATGGAAAGAGGAGACACCCACCCTTGGGACAGCCAATGGGTGGGTGGTCACAGCACATGCCTGCAAGGTAGCACACACAGCTCAAGTTACTTCATGATTCAGAGCCTAAGGTTTAATGCAGATCTCTCAGAGCTCGGGTGCATACTCTAATGGTGGGGTCATCTTTTGTAATTACCTGTTCAAGCTATCCAGCTTCAAATAAATGACCTAATACTGAGTCACGGGGAAAGACTCGTTGGCGTGGTAGATTGGCAGCTAGAGCAGGATTAGCCACATTTAGGATGAGGGATCTACACCCGAAGGACTGCTTCTAAGACCCAGCGGAGACCATTCCAGTCGAATTATTATTAACTAAACATTTCACATGTAACTCAAAAAGCATTGTTCTTTTATTAAAAAAAAAAAAATCAATCAAAACTTTACAGTCAGGTCTATTATTTGGTGTCCAGATGGTACAGACAAGAATACACTTCAAAATGCAGGCTCAGAAACAGAGGTGAAAGCAGCATAATTCTCTAACGTGCGTCCTTTTGATGGTATACCTTGCCACAGCCCAGCTCAGACATGCATGGGGTTGAAGAGTCTTAAGCTGCCATTATGTATGTGTCTACTCTTACTATGACTTTGGCAATATTTGACTGGTGTCCACCTATCTGGAGAAAGTGGCAGTTGGGAGGGCAGAGCATAGGCTCCCCTGTCCACCTGCACCATGCCAGTCTGACTAAACAGTTGCAAAGCTGGAAATAAGGGACTTCACAAAGAGATTTGGAATGGTTTATTTTCCCATGTAAAGGGAGAAAGAAGTAATCATCAGTCAAAGACAGGTCAAGCACCTGCTGTTTGCTGAAAGATGTGCTCCAAAACACAACATGGCCTCAAATAGGCAGAATAATTCTGAGGTCCATGACTTAAATGTACAAAGAGGAATTAATAGAGACTGAATGGATTTAGAACGGCCCTCAAATTTACTGTACATGTTTCTAGTCAACACCGCTAGCTTCTCATTTCATGTATGCTGCTCATTTCATGTATTTCATGGTTCATCATTTTATCATATATAAGCAAGTTTCATGTAATTGCAAGGAAAGATATTAAAATCCAATCAAAACAAAACTCAGACTTGGAAAATACTTATGCTTTACCAGTAAACCACATAGATAATGTGAGTTATGATGAATCACATGAAGGAAAGCCATGCATTCTTTATATAGCATGAGGAGCTCTAAATTACAGTACCTTTCAGGTTGAAACCTCGGCACTGAGTCAGAGGGTTTCCATGTCTCACGTCTTGCCTACGACTCCTCCTGAAATATGTTGTAAAAACAGTGTTATTCCAAGACAGCTACACTGCAAATAAATACTTCTTTTTTTTGCAGGTTTGGGTTTTGTTTTTTACTAGATCAGCTGTTAGGGATAGTTCATGACCTACTGTGAGTGTGTTTTATTCTTGGCAGGCTGAAGTGAAGATACTGTTTATGTGCATAATCTGTTTGCTGAAATTTATGAGATGGTTGTACTTTCAGTAGGTAAAGTAGTTTTGCAATGGAGGTACAGAGACAGAAATGCTAGAGGTGATACATAAAATAGACATACATTCACTGTTGCAAGACCTAATATTCAAAGCCAGAATTCCCAGCTGGAACTCTTCATAAAAGCAAGCACCTAAGAATGAGATGCACAAGAGTCACAGTGCTCATATCTAATGCACCAACATAAAATTATTATATAGGGCATATACTCTCCTTGATTATTTTTGGTGCCTGTAGCCACCTTGGTAGCAGAGTGACTGAAATATTAATCCAGAATGGTGGAGAGCTAAGATTCAGTTCTGTCCTCTCCTTGTATGTGACCATTTCCAAAAGATACTCAAACTCATCAAGTCTCAGGATACTCCTAAATGAGACTTTGTTATATTATTTGCTTGACAGATGCAAAATCATGATTCTGTAGCAAACTAGCTACAAAGTTTACTGGGATTGAGAATACTGGCATTTCTGTCCTCTTTGGCTAGGAGATCATAGCTCACAGAATTCCGTGCATCAAAATATGGTACCTGAATCTTTTATTCTTAAAATATATTATCTTGTTGGCTGAATATTAAGTGAGTTCATTATCTATCAAGTTCAACAAAAATATATATATATATTGGTGATGGACTGGTGCAAATGCCGTATTCTGAACTATGCACTAATGACTTGTGAGGTCAGAAACCATAAAAAGCCCCTGGAGCTCCAGTACCTCTGAGCGAAGGGTGACGCCTCTGTGGTCACATTATACCAGGTACTGCACAAACACCCAGAGACAGTGTTTACAGTCCTCTGTCACCTGATCCTTCACCATATTGTTTTAAAAGGAAACATTTGAAAGGTGATGTTTCAAAGGAGTAATTTCTGACATTCCAAGTATATTTTTGATGTTTACTATCAAAAGTATTTCATCTTATCCCTTGGGATCTTAACCTTTGTGAACTAGTTATGTGAGTCAAAGGGGACAATGACAAATTTCGGAGTGAGTTTCAAGATTCCCGTGCTACCGTGAGCTGTCCGCACTGTCAGAAATGGCACGCTGCTTGCATTAAGCAGTTCTGGGAATGTAAACTTACAGTTTGATATTTATAAAAAAAAGATTGAGAAGGTGGAGTTTAGAAAATAAAAATAATACTGTCAGGTATTTTGAGGTAAATCAACATTGGATGAGGAACCACAGTAACCCATGGGAGACAGAAGTGTCAAAAGAAGCAAATAAGCAAATGTGTCCAGCAGATACTACTGTCTAGACGATGGGATTTGGCTCTAATTACCAATGTTTTCTCCTTCATAATCTCTCTTGTTAGATAAAGGGACAACTCATTTCCTTCACATATGAAAAACAGATTTTTTTTCCATACAGTTTTAGGTGTTTATTTTGGTTTGATATAAAAAGCAAATTACAAAAAAAAAAAAAAATGTCAGCATGAAAGCAAGCCCCAGTGGAAATAACCCTGGGTGTATATAATGGGGCTGGCAAGGAACACACTGGAAACTGCACAGACTGGGTATACCTAGCTGCTCATTATATCTTTCAGCAGCTATGTTAGTGTAGGGGTTAGGTGGCCTGAGACTCAGGGATTTTTCTTTTCTTTTCTTTCCTTCCTCCATCTTCTGACCTTTGTTCCATGGAAGAAAACAATCAGTTACAGACTGGAGGCTGAATACGCTGAGTGAAAGCAGTAAAAACCCCAGGTACTTTACCAATCGCTACATGGCCAGGTTGGGCTTTACCTTTTCATCTGAAATCAGGAATGAATCAAGAAAATGTTGCAATAACAACAGTAATTGTCTTTAATCCCAGGGGAGGTCATTGCCATCAGCTGGCTGGGTCACTGGAGCAGAGCCAGGCTTTGCTTGTTTCTGCCTACTGCCTCCCTCCATGCAGGTGAAGGAGTGAAGCCCTTTAACTGTGTCTGCTCTTCTGCACCTGCAGCTCGGGTGCAGGGAGCAAGCCCAGTGGCCCACAGTGGGTGAAGCTCTGCCATACACCCAAAAGGTTTGTCTCCTCTGCAGTAACACCTCATTGTGTAGTCTGTAGCTTTGTTTGTATATGAAGTGAAATCTTAGTAACATAAGAGCTCACTACAGCCTCCTGCTATTAAATATTTCCCTCAGGAGGAGGAAAGAGGCTCCTGTTTTGCATAAGAATTATGAGATGGACTATTAGCTCTCTTGTAAATTAAAAAGAAATTGCTTTCCCTGTCTGCTTTAATAAATCTCATGTCAAAACCCCCAAATTTGCAGGCATTACATGAAAATCACATTCGCCTAAAATTTCCCCGGAAATAATTCTTCTCACTTAGGAGTAAATGAGGAACAAAAAAAAAAAAAATTACTTTATTCCTCAGACAGCCTGAGAGATATTTTTCTGTACTTTGGGCTATCATAATTACATCCATAGTGAGCAACTGAATTTAAACAAAGGGAGCAAATGTTTCACTGATTTTGTGTGCATGAGACAGAAGGATTAATATTTATGATTAGGAAGGGTTTTTCTTTTTCTTTTTTTCAGTCAATTACTTTAAATATGAAAAGGCAAGCTCTTTAGCATACACTCTTGCAGCATGCGCTCCTAGGTGATGAACAATGCCAAGCACAATAGCTTCGGAGGGAGGCATAGTTTTGTACATGCTCCTGAAAGGAATGACATCCCACTCCTCCATCACATTACAACACCCCAGGCTACATAGCAGAACAAAAGCCTTCTTTCCTTGCAGGCTTCACTGGGCTGCTTAGTACTGCTCACCTTTTCCCCGTGGGATAAAACCTGGAGCAGGAGTTGCCATCCCAGGCGCAGTACGGATCTCGGGCTAGGCAGCAGTCGGCGCAGGCGGTCCCGTAGATGTGGCAGCGATGCAAGGATACCTGGGTGACCCCTTCATCTGAGCTCACGTACAACTGTTGCTACAGAAGGAAATGGAAAGATTTATTTCAGATGTGGACGAGCTTCACCCGAGACTCGGCTAACACACCTAAAAACCTTTCAATTAATTTTGGAATTAATCAAGACTGAGAGGGGAGTCACTAATATATATAAAGCCAAGATAAACACAAATCTCCCAGGTGAACAGGCCTGTAATATTTCCACTTTCCCGTTAGAAAACACTTAGACACACTGGGGATTGTTAATGTTTTTTGGACATTGAGTGTCATTGTTCTGTTCTGAGGCAGACAGGCTTAGTTAATATTGCTCAGATTTGAGAACTTGGTTCTTATTCAGTGAGGATTATTGGCTCAAGCCTTTGAACTAAGTATTTTCTCTGCATATAGTCACTTTAATAAATATTATGCAGAGTTCCTAGTTGGATTCTCCAGCGCGTAGATTTCCAAGACATAAAACCTAGAGATTATGTTGAGGCTTAGGGCCAGATTCTTATAGCCTTATATACCTGGAAAAATAAGCCAACAGAACTTTTATAATAAAAGAGAGCTTTTTCAAAAGAAGTTCAAAGTGAATAGGTCATCACCAAAATCTGGGCCAAAATGACTGTTTCACTCAGAAACAATTAATCAATTATTCTTAAAATATAAATTAATATTGAACAAACCCCTTGAAACTCCTCTGATCTTTCTGTCATAAAACTAAAAAATTACACTGAATTCAATTTAATGAAAAATGTTTACTTATTAGTAGTTTTGTAAAATATCGAGCAACATGTTGCTTACAAATCATGGAATGCATATTTTTAGTTTGTGTATTTAACATTTCAGCAGAAATCCTCTCAGCTGTTTTTGTGATTCTTATTGCCATCCTTATTACTAATAAACAAACATGCACAATTGTACCATGGACCCAATGGCACCAGCACTGCCTTTTTGCATTGACCAGACTTCCAAGGGGAAATTTCTATTTAGGACTTACAGACAAAAAGGGGAGGGCAAATTTCCTCTTTTAGTACTCTTTTCCCCTTACTTGTCAAACAAAACAACCAAAAAATTACACTTTCAGTTAATTAGAAATGATACATAATGAGTAAAAATTGTTTTATCTTAGTGGGTCTGGGGCACATAAACAGCTCATGCAAACTTCAGTCAAGTTTTTCCATATTCATTATGGAAAACCTCCTGCCTGTATTTAGTATGCTGCTCAACAATTCCAACATCTTTAAGTCAATTTATTTCTCATTTAATAAGCACCAAGTAAGCATTCCACTTTTCTTTACCTTTTTAGATGAAATCTTCATTGTTGTTATAGGAGAATTACTCTGAAAGACAAAATTCCAAACTACATTTACAAGGACTCTCTTGTTCATACTGTCCCAACATTAAAATTTAAAATTCAATAAAACCTAAGTCCTATTTAAGAAAATTATAACTTTCCATATCTTGGAAAGGCATCGCTTACTCCTACTAATTTTTTGCTATTTTCAGAACTAAACAAATGATGTAATTACAAGTAATGTCTCACTAAATGTATTGGCTAAACTCAACTGCATTATTATTACTCACATGCATCAACAAGTTTCTGTACACTTCTAATTAGCCTGCATCGGTGTTACCTCAGCAATATAGGAGTGATGTGTTTTGAAGCTATTACTCTCACTTTGTAATAAGAAACAATGTTTGTTCTTTGACGATAATGACAAAGAAAAATAATACAATAGCTCATGAATATTGACCACGTGATCCAGATAAGAATATTTCATCTTTCTCCCACACAGTGTATACAGCTTGGTTACCATCCAACATATACTTTCAGGTTATCAATGACTTAGAGTATTAAAAATTGCATGCGTGTTATTGAATGTTTCTTTCCCAGAAACAGTACTGTATACTACTGTGTGTCATCACTGCAGTCTATTATTGCCTGTATCCAAAACAAATGTTAAAGATCTGGGAAGAGAATTATCACATTCATTGCCTTAAGCAAGTGAAGAAATTCATTATTCTCATCCAAACAAATGATAAAATTCATGGTAATAAAAAATGTTCAGCATTTTTTTTAAGATTTAGCATTTGGTCAGCCACAAAGGAAAGCCATGGTGGTGGGCCAGGATTAACTGCAGTGGACCACAAGCAGAACAAGGAAGGCAGGACTAGGAAACCTGGCTGCAAATCATGTGAATTGGCAAAGGTTTGAAAGAGTTCAGAGCTGCTATAGTATTTCATTAAATGTCTGGAGACTCAAGCTCAAATGCAACACTGGATATGATGCCACATTCTCCTTTCCATGCTTATAGTCTGGAAAGGAATCGGTGTTTTACTTACTCTCGATATTTACTAGCACACAGCCGGTGATCTCATTCCTGCTCTCATGGAGATACTCATCAAGATACTGCCATGCTGCCCACACAGATTGCAATGGCAGAGGTTACAATGTCATGGTTTTGAGGGTTCAGGATAAAAAACTCTGTGCACAGAGGCCCAGAGACAAGGTTTAGGGATAGGATTCCTCTCAGCCCAACTATCTGCTTGCTGTATTTACTTTTCAGTAAAGGGAATTAGTAATACTTGGGCAAAGGGTACTCTTTAGGTAATATTACTCCCACTTATCTTTTTTAAAGGGAAGTCTTCAACAAAAGCCTAGGAAGACTAATTGTGCCTTTATGAGGGTTAACACAGAGTGTATCCATTTTCTTAAAGAAATTACTAATGCTGCCTGTCTAGATAAAAAAAGTTAAATTTTCCTTTTTGTATCCCCTCAGTTAAACAGATAAAAGCCCATGAAAAAACTCTTAACTAAGTTTATAGATGCATACTACCATTTGTGCTGAGACTACCTGTTTTAAAGAATATTCAAAAATTTGAAAGAGATTTTTCAACATGAGGGTGAACATATTCTTTAGGTTATTACACGCTGCTACATGCCAGAGTGATTGACAGAGGCTATTCCCTTCTTTCTCCCTGTAGCTGTTTGTGTTTCTTTTCAGCTTATGTTGTGTTAAGCTTGTAGCTTTCTTGACTCCAGAGGCATGTGACTTTGAGGAACTGGAGTTAAGCAAAACCACCACTAGTTTGCTTCCATTCTGCAGCTCAGAATCAGGAAGATTATCAGATAATCAAAGAAGTACAAAAATCTTAGATTCCATCTGTAAATAGTAACAGTCTCAATATGTGATGCCAATGATAAAAGTTGCCTTCTGGCAGCCACTGTAACATGACCTCTTAAAAATGTGATTATTAAAGTCCTTCTAGCCAGTATAACAACATAAAAAATAAGCCACTTAAGTATAGGGGGGGGAAAAAGGACTTAAGATAGCTACAGCGTTCATAACAGTGGATGTTTTACATTCCTCTTTGGGTGGTTACCAAGCTGACAGTATGCACATTTACTTGATCTTTTATCAAATCACGGTTGCCCTCACCAAAGTCTCTTAGAACGAAGTGTTTGTGTGAACACACACGTTGGAAGAGTAAAAGCAGGAACAAGCCAAACCTGAAAAACCTCCAGCTCTTCTAAAATGAGTTCTCCACTTGCCGAGAAGTTGGTGGGCAGGACAACAACTTTTTGTACGGTTCCTTGATCTGAAAAAGATCAGAAAAAAGTGAGACCATGTGACAGAGAGAGAGAGGAAGATAAAAGTAGATGAACCATTATCAATTATGAAAAAAAAAACCATCAAAGCATGACACAGAGAAAGCTAAGAAATATTCAGTAATTACTAGGGTTTGGGGTCAGAAAGAACCATGAGAAGATTCCATATATAAGAATATTACATACAGTATTATTCTCATATACGAACATGAAGCAGTCACAGTGAAACTGGAGGTACTACCATTACTGTTACCATTCTACCCAAAAAGATCAATCAAAATGAATATCTTCTGTCCTAGTTGCTGTACAGACACACAGACAGAGGCAGTATCTATCCTAATCATCTTAAAGTAAAACCACAGCAATATAAACAGGTAAAAGGGAGCTACTGCAGAATTTAATATATATTCATATTAATTAATAAAACATAATGACAACTGATGACATGAAAGCGAAACCTTCCAAAGAATAACTCTATCTACATCTAAACAAAGTAAGATGAAAGCGCTTTTTTTTTTTTCCAGGAAAGTCAAACAATATTTAAGTCCATTCCATATTGGTAGGAGTTAATATTTCGGTCCATAAGGAAAAAAGGAAAAGCAATGTGAGGATATTGTAGCTACTCTATCATAGCTGCCCTCTCAAAACACCATTCCAAGCCTCCCAAATCCATTTAGATCAAAGGAGTAAGAAGTACAAAGGATGGGGCAATGGCAGTGTTTTTGCACAGTACATGTGATGAGTGAGACTGAAGGGATCTTTGTGATTAGTTTTCCAAATTTGTTATGTGGAAAGAATATATGAGATGGAGGGATCTATCTGTGAAGCCTCTTAAAGGCCAAGATAGCCACTGAAGTATTTCTAATGCAGCAGAAAAGGCAGACTGTGGGAGAATCACAAGGACAAGCATTTTTACTTGGAAAAAGCACAGCACACAGAATTCCTCTTGCCTGAAAGGCCTCGAAATTAGACTGAGTAGAATAAGCTTATTTGCTCAATATTGATTCTGAGAAATGAGACCACCTGATATAGACTCTGTTTGGCCTTCAAACATTTTATGAGCAATATAGACTTGTGTGGTTAGTAAAACATTAGTATAGCACAATATAGGTAAGTATCTACGTGCATTTTTATGAATTTGTGACCAAGGAAAGGAAATCTCAGCTTCCTGTTTGGCAATTCATGATGTAGACAATGTAAACTGAAAAAGGGCAATTTTGCTTTTGCTTTTAAGGTCGGTGACTAAATTCCATAGATTGAGCTGCAGGGCAAGTTGGTTACAGTAAATAATTTACATCTTCTTATTTCCCTGGAGGAAGCCAGCAAATAATAATATATTTTACTTTTAAAGAAATAAGGTTTAAAGCCAGAATATTGATATGTAATGACCCGACCACACACAGAGAGCACATTGCAGTATTTGGTGATTTAAAAATAAAAGAAAAAGAGAAATTGAAAGCTGACAAGACTTAAAAATGTGTAGCTATCAATTGTACATGCTCAGGGCACGTTAAGCATGAATTTTTCATGAGAATTTTCTATGGAGAACATTTATTCTTGTTATACAATGGCATGATAAACCAGTTCCTTCCGAAGAAACTTTACTGAAACTAAATCTTGTGATAGCGCAGCTGTGGTCTAGACTGGGTGCCAGTATTAGCAAAGCTATGAGAACCTGAGAGAGATTTACTAACTGCCAGGACCCACTGAAGCTTTAAACTGCTGCAGATGCACCCCTTGTTGGAGCTAAGGGGAAGCATGTGCGTGTGCGTGTGTGTGCATTTCTACTCCTACTGAACGGAATAACCCACTCACAAATATGCATAGCTTAAACCCAGTCCACTTCTGCTTCTTTGCATCCTTCTATCAATGTCCTTTCTCTAACATTAAACCACACCATACAAAATATTGTATCAGATATGCAGAAAGGAGCTTCAGCCTTTTGGATTTTTTTTTTTCAGCTGCCTGCAAAGTGTCAACTACCTGTAACCCTGACATACAGGGCACCGAGCATGTTGACAGTGACCTTACCTGCAAAGGAATGTGAGGCTGCTGAGACTCTGAAGAACCGGTTTATTTCAATGATCCATTAACACATACCACACATTTAAAACTCCTAAATTGTCTTTGGTCCTCAAACATTGCCTCAAACTGAAATCAGAACCTGAGGGGAGATTTTGTCCTAGGCATTGGCACAGAAAATACTGATAATGCCTGACGCCAAGTCCTTGTGTCCTAACAAACTTTCCTATTTGAAAACTAGGTTCTTATTTGCCTTTTTGTCACACCCCAGCAAAATACACAGAGTTAAGGACTGTTTACCTTGGTATTCATTCCCCTTGACTCAATATTTTACCATTTGCTTTGACTATTGTACCATGAGGGACAGATCGATCATTCCAGAAAGGAATTTAACATTGTTTTAAAGGTATTAGTAGACTTAATACAACATTTAAAATAAATATTCATGTCAGGGAAAGTAGGCAATAAAAAGCTATTCATTAAATGAAACCACTTAAAGCAAGGAATTTCAATAGTCTGTACATACATAAATATATGCGCATAATGGTTTGTAGGCTGTAGCCCTCCACACCTTCTAAAGACAGTTTTCTAGTTTCTCAGCCTGTTCCTTAATAAATGAAAAGCAAATATTTATGCCCCAAAACCATTTCTCATTCCTTTCTCAGTAGTACTGATGTCTCTACTATAAGCACAGTAGCTGACAAATCAAGCTCTTACACATATTCGTGTCAGAAAGCTTGTGGTACATCTGAGGTTTTTTTATTTCCTTTAATGGCAAGGCAGCAAACTGAACTCCCTGGGTCAGAAGGAAGTTTGGAAAGGATGCAACACTGTGCACTGCAGGAGATATATGCAAAGCAGCAGTGCCTGAGCTGTTTCCCAGTGTATGTCATAATAGATAATCTTTTGTGTTGTAAGCCAGGCCTAAGAGATCATCAAGTAAATATAAGTCAACTTTTTTTCATGTTTAGATCAATGTATGAAATTACATTGAAAAATGTATGAAAGCTAATTCTGTAAAAATCATAAAAGTGAACAGGATGGTTTCTTTCTCTGTTGTTCCTTCCAGAAATCCACTTGCAAACAGTTCTACAGTGTTACGATTTCACACAGTCATGAAAAAAAGCTATGGTGTCTCCGGAATATCAATCCACCACTAGAATGCATGAAGTGAAGAGGCAGATTTATGTTCACCACTTCCCTGACTTTTCACCGGGAGCTGTTTGCAGCCTCGCATCAGCCCAGCAGCCTGCGAGTCAAGGGCAGACAGACAAGCGAGAAGGAATCTCCCTCATGCTGACAGCAAGAGGACAAGGGCGACTCATAATGACTGCTTTTCTGTTTCAAATCTGCTTGAACAACTGCAGTTGCCCAGATTGACATGGAAGACAATGTTACTGAGATTGTGTTCCCTCAGAGAGGATGGAGAAAGAGGGAACAGCAAGGGAGGGAAGTGCTAAAATCCTGCAGGCTGAAAAATGGTGTAGAGAGTATGCAGAGTGGGAAATAAATGGAGAAAGAAGGCAGCCCAATAAATGGCGGAAGGAAGGAATGGAGACAAAATAGTAGTAGTAGTAATAATAATAATAATAATAATAATAATAATAATAATAATATCACCTTCCTTGAAACGCAGGGCATGATTCTGTCTGGTATTAATCAGCTAGGCTTTGCTCATACCAGTTGGACTATGCCTGATTACACTAATTCCTAGTCTGGCTGACCATGGGCAATGGAAAAGGCAAAGCTTAATGAACATTAATGAAAAATACTCAGATATTTGGCTGGAATCTGTATTCCAGAAGCTGAACCTGCAGGTCTGAGTTTAAGTCTTGTTCTTTGAATTTCTACTAGCTTTTCTTTCCCCATCCCTAAGTGAACACTGAAGTTGTCGGTACCATAAGCCCCAAAGGGAGTCAGGCCCAATCCACCACTGAGCCACATCACATGCGTGAACTGAACAACAAATAAAACCCCTGGCTCTTCCACAGCATAAAAAAAGGACTGCAATGGACACCAATTGCTACCCTGCCAGGAGTCCACAGGGAGGCCTCCTGCAGTAATCCCCCTCCCTGGTGTGTCTGACATTGCTGGAGACTCTCTCAAAACTTTTCTCTGTGTTGTACCTGCCAGCTTGATGGCAGCTTAATTATTTTTGGTCTCTAATCCAAGTTGAACCTGATGCAAACAAATAACATTACAAAGAAAAAAGAAAGCAAAGAGTTTGCAGAATGTTTAAGATCTCTCTGTTCGAGAAAATGTTCAGGCTCAGCAGAGCACCTGAGATGGTGGCAGGTCAGCAGTCAGGGCTGAGCACCGTGTCCCCACGCTGCTGTCCTCAGGTGTCTGCTGTAAATCAGGGCTCCCACCACAGTCACCTAACTTCTTTGTGCTTTAGTTCAGTCATCTGCCGGGTGTAATTTTTTTTCCAGCTCACAGTATTGCTGTGAAACTTTGTAAAGTCATTTCAAGCTGCATCAAAAAACAGATACAAATGTCTAATGAGCTCTTGAGGGCAAAATGTGCACATAGCTCCAGCTCAGTCAATCTTCTGGGACACACTGTGATCTTGTTTGAACAAAAACTGAACAGGGAAAATAAAACAGGTGGAGGAATGCCCTCTTAACTTACATATCTTCTTAAATGGCTGTGAAAAAGCATGGGATGAGTTGGTCAAGGAAAGGTTTTGAATGACTCAGGCAGTATGACCAAGAAGAAGGAAACTGTTGGCCGCCTGTTGTGCCACTGTTGTGCAACACCATCTTCCCAAGCTCACAGACACAAAGCTGCAGCCAGAGAGTCTGTGGGAGGCAAGCTTGCTCTTCTGACCAGATTATCTCTGTTAGAATCTGTAGCTCATTACATGATTTTGGCTATTGTGTTACTGGAGGCTACTGTTGTCAACAAGGGTTATTTTTCCAAAAAGACAGCCATCATGTAACACCATGAATACGAGTATTACAACCTTATGCTCTGAAGGCAGTTACTGCATCCAGACTTTGAAAACAAGTGTTGCATCAGAAAAAATAATAAGAAACATCGATCAACCTCATGCCACATCAGATGCATGTGGCCCACATTAATAATCTGAATAAGCCAGACCGAAGTCTGAAATGCCTTTTCACGACAGTAAGTTAGATCTCTTTACACAAAAACATATCCTATCTTGATAGCAAGGAGCTGAAAAAAATCCTATTGGTGCCCACGGCTGTTTAATGTACCCAAGTTTGACCCAGACATTTAAATATTTTCATAACACCAAGAGCAATAAAAACCCCATGCATAATCTTATGGTTGTGCAATCTGCGTGTACTTTGACCGAAGGCTTTCGTACTGCAAGCAGTAGGTGGCATGCTTAAAAAATAAATATTAATCTGAGGAAAATGTTCTCATGCTGTTTTATGGCTGTTCTTAAAACTCAGATGGAAAACAATCTACCAAAAGATAAATAAAAAATGTTGAAAGCTAGGGTTCTTTAGCTATAACTGAAATGAGTAAAGTAATTACAGTAAAACTCTAGGGTCAATAAAAAACTTCAGGACTGCGTCCTGGCCTACCATAGAAACAGGATGATCAAAGCAGAACTCTAACCCTAAATTCCTGAACCGAATATGTTATTACTCATTGCATAGGGAGAAAGTATCATTGGCATCGCCTTTGTCAAATACGCAAAAGAGTGATTACATTATATGCAAGTGAATTATCCTTCGGGTTTCTGTTTGGGAAGACAAGGTATACAGCACTCTTCTTTTGTAGCGCTGCTCTCTACCATTAAAGACTTGCTCCTTACTCAGCTCATTTCAGAGGGTGGAAGAGATCCCTTTGGGTGAACTTAACAAAACCAGCAAGTTTTGTTAAGTGCTTTGGGAGTCTTCAGGTTGAAAAGCATAGGGAAAATAGGAGATCGTTATCATTTGAAAAGCGGGTGGAATGCTGCAAGAACAATGTCTGTCCATGGGATTTATTTTGTTAGCTATGCAGGCAAGCAAGGGAGAAAAGCAAGATATTAACTCTGGGCATGGACCAGCCCCTGTGAGCTCAGCACTTTTGTCTGGGGGTGTAAAGGAAACACTACATTTAGTTCACTTTAATGTGAAAAAATGACACAGCTGCCTATACCCTCCCATGCCATGGCTACATGATGAAAACCACTGGTGTTCTTGGAGCTTTATACTTCTGTTATTCTTCACTTGCATTCAGGAACTGATTTATTACTGAGGCTATAGAGGAGGAAGAGAGGAAAAGCTAAACATTTTGTGTGCTCTGCATCTGGCAAGACATAAAACACTCCAATTTCAAGCATGAGACAGGTCACTGACAGTGACAGACATGGCTGGCAACATCTCAGTTCAGCAGCAGTAACTCATCATCCAAGCTGAGTGTAATTGTCACCAGGTGTCAGGTCCCATTGTCTCGGGCTGTGGGGCTCCAGGCTCCCAAGGAAATTATCACATGAAATTCTCCTATACAATGTGGTTTTTGCATTTGCCAGGATGAACTGACACCAAAGCAAATCCCCTCTGCATTCCTTTTGACAGTTAATATCTCTATCGAATCCTCGTGACTCTCACAGAAAGCAGAGAATAAAGAAAACAAGTTTCTCCTCTCAGTGGCTGAAACTTGATCACTTTTATTTAAAAGGGCTGAGAAACGCAGTAACTTACATTGCACAAATTTCTTCTGAGGAAGACCTTGGAAGCTAATATCATCCTGTACCCCACTCAGGAAGAATAATGCCTCCCCTCCAACTCACTGGAAAGCAGGCAATGATCCTTGCCTCCAGTGTAATTCAGAAGATAAAGCTATGAATATAAAGTACCAAGAACTGCAGTTTACGTATTTGTCCCATAATGGACATGTTTCTGTTTTCTGATTTCCTGTCATTGCAGTGCAGAACCCTGTAGGCTGGAAGGAACCTCTAGGAGTCATCTAGTCCAATCCCCCACTCAACACAGCTCCAGTTAGAGCAGGTTGCTTGGGGCCCTGTCTTGTTGGGTTTGAATCCTTTGAGGATGGAGAATTCACAGCCTCTCTGGGGCCTTGTTCCAATGTTTGATCATGCTGATGGTGAAAACCTTTTCCTTTATACCTAATTGCATTGCCCCGCATTGCAACTTGTGTCCATTGCCTCTCACCTTGACATGGAGCACCTTGAAGAGAGCGCAGATCTTTTTTTTTTTTCCCATTAGATAGTTGTATCCTCCCATTAGGCAGCTGTCAACAGCAATAAGGTGTCCCTCTAGCTTTCTCCAAATAAATTTAATTCTCTCGGCCTCTTCTCATACATCACATGCTACAGTCCCTCAGCTGATCTTGTTCCATTAGGTCAATGTTTTCCTTGCACTGGGGAGCCCACAACTGGACACGGTACTCCTGACAGGAGCTGAGTACAGGGGAAGAGTCCCTCCCAGCAACCTGCTGTCTGGATACACTTCTGCTAATACAGCACAGTATGCAGCTGGCCTCCTTTGGCACAAGGGCACCCTACTGATTTTGATAGCTTGTGTGCATTCAGGTTCCTCAGGTGGTCACGAACCTGGTCTTCTCCTACAGCAGGAGGGGTTTTGCCCTCCCGGTGCCCCTCATGCCATCCATCGACTCGGGAGGGGTGAGGAGAGAGGATGGAGAATTCACAGCCTCTCTGGGGCCTTGTTCCAATGTTTGATCATGCTGATGGTGAAAACCTTTTCCTTTATACCTAATTGCATTGCCCCGCATTGCGACTTGTGTCCATTGCCTCTCACCTTGATATGGAGCACCTTGAAGAGAGTGCAGATCTTTTTTTTTTCCCATTAGATAGTTGTATCCTCCCATTAGGCAGCTGTCAACAGCAATAAGGTGTCCCTCTAGCTTTCTCCAAATAAATTTAATTCTCTCGGCCTCTTCTCATACATCACATGCTACAGTCCCTCAGCTGATCTTGTTCCATTAGGTCAATGTTTTCCTTGCACTGGGGAGCCCACAACTGGACACGGTACTCCTGACAGGAGCTGAATACAGGGGAAGAGTCCCTCCCAGCAACCTGCTGTCTGGATACACTTCTGCTAATACAGCACAGTATGCAGCTGGCCTCCTTTGGCACAAGGGCACCCTACTGATTTTGATAGTTGGGGAGGTTTTTCTGAGAAGAGTGAAGAGAGTTCCTTTTAATCCTACCCCTATAGGAGCCTGACATTCTTGAGAGATTTTTTAGCACCAGCTTCCTAAATCTATTGTAAGAGGATGGTTGTTCCCAGCCCCATGTGAGTTTGCTGGCAGACACGGTTATTCTACAAGCAGAAAACAACCAGAACCCCAATAATATGTGAATCATAAAAAAAAATGCAAGCCATATCCTTAATTATTTTCTGATGTTCAAAGACATATTTATCCTCCTGGAGTTCTTTTCCTTTGTTCTACTTTAAACCATCTGTAGTAAAAAAGATTAGCTTTTGTGCCTATCAACCTATAATTCCCTATTAAGCCAGCAGGAGTTTCAGATGTGAATGAATCCTAGGGTCTAGCCAGAGTACCACTCCGCCTGTCTGCCTCAGTCAGAAGAGTGTGATTCACATCTGAATATTTTAAAAATTCAAAATTGATCAGTACAAGAATCACTTGACTGTTCCCTGCAGCCTTCAGAAGCATAACACCAGATTCAAATTTGATGTAACTAAAAAAAAAAAATGTAGGTTTATATTAGACAGAAAGTATTTCAGAATACTTGGATCAAATTCTGTGTGTCCACTACTGCTAGGACTCCAACCATTTTTTTCTTTTTCTCTGCTAAATACTTTCATATTTTTACTTTTTTTTTTTTTTGAGTTATTTCTGCCTTTGTAACATCCTGATCAGATTGTGTTTTTCTTCAGAAGTGGCTTACACAGCATATATTAAATATTGATGATGATAGTATACAAAAAAATACAAAGCCAGATTTTGGTATTTTTACTCATGTTAGAGAGCTCCAAATTCTAATGTGGAATCATGTTGTAGCAAACCATATTCAAGAGAATTATTATAATTTAGATCAAATACAATATACACTAGTGTTGATTTCTGTCTCAAATAAAATTAATATCAATACATTGTGCCTCTTGCACACAATTAATGTCTATAGGAAACATAAAAATGCACAGAAAGTAAAAAGAGTATAAATTGTGGATTTGTATAGTTATTTTTGTAGATAGCAAATATGTTTAAACAAGTATTTCGGAAAGCTGTAAGTTGTACAGTTCTGAGTTGATTGCAAATTATAATGCAATGGAGAAAACTGACTGTTGCTAAGTTTGTCTTACCTGTTCCAAGAAACAAGACATGGTATCTTCCATCAGCAGCATTCACTCGATCCACAGCAATCTTCGTATACTTGTAGTCGGCTCCTATCCGGATGATTAATGGCCTCTTGTGTATTGGGTAAATGGGATTAAACATCAAAGGGTGATTCCTGATGAACGTCACAACATCGTCTGGAAACTCTTTGGTTGTCCGCATATTAGGTGTGAAGGCTCCTCCTGGACACTGTAAGAAACATGCACAGCAATGCTCAACAATACTTACCACCTTTTGGAGAGTTTTCATCTCCAAGTCATTTACAAATATTGACAGATAGTTGAGAAAGTGAGCTCCCGAAAGAGCACTTCATACTCTGACTGAAAGTAATTATGTTCCAGTAACGGGAATTAAGTGCTTGAATAGCTATGCTTTGAACTCCCATCAATTCAGATAAAGCAAACACAAATATATTTTTGCACTTTCAAAACCCAGCTTGATGGCAAAGATCCATACTTCTGGACTTATTCTACATTCTTTATGCTTCCAAACTGCCTGTTGAAAAAAAGATCCAAGTGATTTGTATGGGAAGATACTAAACTTCCACAGTTAAAGATTTAGTAGAAAGGCAAAAGGTAAAATCTGAGATTAACTGTAATTTGGTTAGTATCCCTCTACTCATTATGTTGATTATGAGATAGTGAAAGGGCCTGTGACTCATCTTCATTTGAAAAACCAGTAATATGGAGTTGATGAGGGGGTCCCATGGCAAGCCATTTACATCTGAGAAGACTGACCGTTCTGAGAGGATCTTGTCTACACTTTCCCCTATGCCCAAGAAATAACAAATACTCTGGATGCTTCTTTATATGTAATGAAGAACCATCCAAATAATCAGCCCTGAGGCATTCCAGACCTCATGAAGAAAAAAAAGCAATCTTGGAAATCTCAAGCGTTTACTGAGAGTGAAACTAAAAGAAGACTGTGGGAAGAAATCAGGAGCTATGTCAGTAACTGCCACAACATTCTGGATGTACCTATGTTAATTTTAATGACTTTTTTCAGCCACTGTTACCGTACTTCTTATTGCTGCTTTCATTTTACTTCCTACCAGGTTTCTGAGCTGTGAAACTCTCCTTGGAGCATTGGAGCTATTCAGAAATATTTCAACACAACATTTTTCCAGTTGGAAAATGTTGATTTTTTTCAATATGAAGCATTTCATGGAAACTTGTTTATTTTGATGAAGACCATTCTTACGTCTAGGATGGAATTTCTGGTCAAAACCACAGACACAAAAATAGCTAGTAGTTTAGGGAGACATTTACCTCACCTGACTTATACTGTCTCAAAGTCAGGCATTTATTCTTAGTTAGCCATCTAGGTTTCCTCTGTAGTCAGTAATTCAGACTAGATGCCCTGCTTTTAGATGGCTAAAATTACATAAAATGAATCATACTTGGAGAGACTAGGAAACTCGCTGGGGATATATGAGTCATGTGCCCAACCTACCTGATACAAGCAAACGTTAGAATCTAGGTCTTCACCTCCCAGGGGATCCCTCTAACCACCAGGCAGGAGTGTTTGTTCTACCTTTGCTGCAAAAAGCTGTTCCATCTTGTGCATGCATCGGGCAATACCAGAAACAATGTAGAGAGGGAACTGCAGCCTAAGCCCAGGCTTTAGAATAATCTATTTATACAAAGTAGAACAGCTCTGGTAGGAATTCTTTAAAATAAACTGCTCTGGTATCAGTTACCTTTAGGAAGAAGAACCAGAACTCAGCTCAGATATGGGGCTTTTTTCCCATCTGACATCCTTGACAATTGATTCTTCTGGACTCTTATTAATTCTGAGGGTTTTCCTTTGGTTCCCATTAGAAATGACACTACATGCTAGTCTTCTAAGTCCTCACAAAATTCAATTCTGATTATCTAGTTTGCTCTGCTCCTTCCCTCTGTGGCACTCCCATCCACCATCTTCCAGGAAATGTATGGAGCTATCTGCTAATATTAGCAACAAATGCTGAAAAAAGAACTGTCTTCATAAGTCTGTAGGCTATTAGCAAGATTATTCTACTTGGTAGTGATCTGCCAGGCTCCAGTTCCTCTCCAGAGGGATTCTGTTTCACGAGCAGTTCAAATTAAACTTTCTTGTCCTGCACAACTCAGTTAAAAGACTTTCTGTGATACTTTCTATCCTTCCATTCTTGACTTGGAGATCATAAGACCTTTGTTTGTGACTTCCTGCAAAAATGTCTGGGCAAAAATGGTTCACCCCAGTATGACCCTGAAAACTTACATGATATCATTGTTCTGAGCAAAGCCTTAACAAACATCTTTAATCAATTAATTCTTTTGCTATCCTCCGTATAAACCAATGTCAAGCAAAAGATGTTACTGAAGAACCCTATAAGCTCTCCCTTTCCTGAAGGGATTGAATGTGTATCCTTCACACCTCATTCAAGGACTTGGCTACATGATAATTGTGTTCACAGTTGATCACCATACAGTTAGACTACAGAGAGAAACAGAATTCTTTAATTTACAGCATATTCCCCAACATGCTGTACGTATAAAAACTATTTCTGTAAACTCTGAAAAATGGAAACTATCCTCAAACATCACTGACTTTAGTAGCAAGATGCCAATTATGTAAATTTTTTTCTTTTCTTTTTCCGTAAGTTTTGCTTGTGGAGAAATAAGAAACCATTGGTATTTAGTGAAGGGCAGCCAAACACTGAGGAGCTGATTATGGCCAAATGAATGTATTGCTTTATTTAATCCTGCT